GAAATAAATTGGCACATATCTTTGTTACTTGTATATAGAATTGCTTAGCAGAGTTTCATGATGCAAATGCATGTCAAGTTCTTCAACAGATGGTATTATTCTCCAGTGCAATAACATTTCTGAAATGAAGGCTATAAGGGCATAATGTGAACCTTAAAAAAAAAAGTAACTAAATAGTTACTTTTCACAGTAACGCATTACCTTATGGTGTAAGTACTGAGTTAGTAACTAAGTTACTTTTGAAATGAAGTAACTAGTAACAGAAACTACAGTAGTTACTGCTTTTCAGTAACTAGCACAACACTGCTGATGGCTGTTTGTGCATTTTTGAATTGTGAGCATGCGTCAGTGGCCCCTCCTCCACAAAAGTTCTCTAAGCTGGAAAAGTCTCCGCCAGTGTTATGCAGAGAAATACCTGCCTACCGAGAATTACCTCCCCTCTTGCACACTGATGAGAAAATGATTGAAATATGAACAAAATAGGAACTTTTAAACATATTCTTAATGTTTTCATTATCATGTTTTCGTATGCACGGATGTGCTAAAATTTAGAGCTTTGGTGTCTGGTGGACAGATAAATGCTGAGAAATACCTCCCTGCCATAACACCAGCGCCTTCTTTTTTGTATTTACAGCATTATGCTTGAAAACAACACTGTTTAAACTTTTACCTATATAGACATGTTATACATCCTTAGAAAGATTCTCAACAATTCAACTGCAAAGTTCATCTAATGGACGCCATGAACACAAAAGCACAATTTATAAAGATATAGTAGCATGTTAAATCAGAATTTCTTAACTAAACCTCCGACTTCCTTCATTTGAGGCAATTCTGAGGCTGTATTATAAATTTAATTTTAGATTTTTTATATTCCATTTGTCTGTACGGGTCTACAGATAAAAAGATTCCAGCATATTCGTAATAAAAACATTCGATGTTGAGAAAATCGCCACATAAAGTCCGTTTTTTACCATCCAAAAAGTTAATTCCTTATAGCTAATGCTCACCATCTTTTCCAGTTAGTCTTGTCAGGATTCTTTTCCACCATTGATGCTCCAGTTTACACAAAAAAGTAGGGATGCACGATATAATCGGCCCCCTAACGGTATCGGCCTGTATCGGCCTTAAAACTGAATATCGGCCACCCCGCCGATATTTGACCCGATATTTGATCAGTTTCTTAGTT